AGAGAATTTTGGGGCAGTGATATATGTGATTACACATTCACTGAAACCCTAGAATGAACAACACTGGGTGTGAAAACTAAACTGTGAACTACCTGCTCTTTGACGTTCCTGCCAACTCGGAGAATCTGAAAAGTCATAAGGTCCTCTAAAACTCTGTATGTGAACTTTAACATTAAAAAGAGGGGAAAACTACCTGCATACATCTGTATAATATAATGGTGCATTGATTATAAATAAATGAGCAAAACTATAGATTTCTCTAAAAGAAAATAAAAATTAATATTTTGGATAATCACTAGTCATTCTGAATTCCTAGTTATATGGTATAGAACATGAGATTTGCTGTAAATACATCTTGAAATTGATATACAATAGAATACATGACAGACTCATTTTTTAACTTGATTGTTCAATGTCAATACTTGAGATATAATTCTTTATCAAGAAACATTCTGGAATGAAATTTTCTAGAAACAGAAAGTTTTAATTTAGTAAAGAATTGATAAGAAAATTACTTTTTAGCCAGGCAAATAAATAGTTTTGGAGCCTGTCTTAGGTCACTAATAGAAATACCCAAGACTGTGTAATTTATAGAAGTAGAGGTTTATTTGACTCATGATTCTGGTGGCTAGAAAGTCCAAAAGCATCACAGCATGATAAAGGACAGGGTCTTCTACAGAGTGGCTGTTCATAAATTTCAAATTGCTTATCTCCTTTCCCCTTCTCTCCACCAGAACTCAGTCATAAGGACCCTGCCCTAATGGCTTTATCACACCCAAGAACTCCATCCTAGAACACCATTAAAGGATTAAGTTTCCACATACACCTTTACAACACAATCAAGTACCAACACATACTTCTGTGAGACTTCCAAATTAAAGCAGAGCTCTCTTATTTGCACTAGCACTTGGTTCACTTACATTTTGGGGGAAATATGTGTATTGTTTCCATTTGTCATTGGTGAACTTTTCTTCCATGTGAATTTATGTAAACTGTCTCTTTAGCTTCATCCTTTCTCCCACTCCCACTCCCCCCTTCTCATTTAAGAAATATATCAACATTTTAAGAAATCAAACCAATTGTGTTAAGGACTTTCTTTTGTGAAGATTTAGTAGTAGAGCATATTAGAAATAGCCACATCTCTATACCAAACTTGCCCAGAATGCTGTGAGAAGAAATATTAGAGGCAAGGATCCCAAGTCTTTTGTAAAATACCTTAGGTAACAAGTTTACGTATTGAAAAGGAGATTTTAAAAAAATTTAAGAGAGATCCTTCTCTATAGGGTACATGCACTCACTGGAGACACAGAGGAGAGACACAGAAAGCAAGAAATTACCCCAGGGAGATAGCAACACTGCAATCCCTTCTCCTCCGTTCTCTGCTCAGGATTTGAGACACACATATACTCACACGTGTGAGTTTCAAGCCACCAGGTCTGGGGCTCAAACAGTGGTCAGCTATGTGGGAGTCCAGCACCTTAACTACTGTGCCACCTGCTGGCCCTGAAAAGGAGATTTTTAATTGTATCCTTAAAGGGCTGTGTGGCCTCTTTCATTTAAAGTAGCATATAAGCTAAATAAAGATCTATGTGTTTGTTCTTTTTGTTTGTTTTCTTAGTCTTAGAATTAGTTCCATTATTATTTCTCCAAGAATAATTATACTTTAAAACATTCAATGGACTACAAAATGGAATATTATCTCTTGATGACAATGTGTATGGTAATTTCCTTGACTGGACTAACATACAAGGTATTCAAGCAGGGATAATTCATTTTAAATGCTGTAAATATATACCGTGATTGCACCAATAGATGGTATGGTGGTTAAAACAATCGATTCCCACATGGCCAATTGTGGTTCAAGTCCTGGACCTAGTGGCTTGCTTTCTCACTTTCCCTCTATTTCTCTTTCTCTCTCTCTCTCTCTCTCTCTCTCTCATGGATGCCCTAAAGCAATTAAAATAATAATAATAAACAAAATTAAATTAATTCTTTTAAAATATATATACAGTGTTTCAATGTAAACAATAAGAAAAAAGAAATTAAATAAAAAATTTTAAAGAGTTCTAGCATAAAAAAATAGAACTTTAACTGTATAACTTTGAGGGTTTAATTAAAAATCTCCTCTTTCTATCTTTCTCTCCATGGAAAAGAAGAGGAACAAATATACCAGCAGTTTCTTTGATCTCTGGCTTCAATATTCAGAAGTTCCTTTCCTATAGTGTAAATCTCACAGCACATGTAGTGTGCAATAGAGAATTAAGGCATGGGGAATTGATCTAAGCAGCTTTATAGTAAATGCTCTGATCTCTAACCCAGACCACTAGTGTTCCTGTGTGTATGTGTGTTTGTGAGTGTGTGCATGTTTGTGTGTGTGTTTAACATGGCAGGCAAACAAATGGAAAATCGAACTTATTAAGAACCTGCCCTCATTGGACCAGCAATAGGTATAATGGCTATGTCACTGAACTCCTGTGTAGTCGACTTCAGTTCAAATCCCAGACCTGGTGGCTTAAATTCACACCAGGTGCATGTGCATGCGTGCCCAAGGTCCCTAAAGGAGAATGGAGGAGAAGGGATTGTCATGTGGCCATCACCCTGAGAGGGGGTGATTTCTTGCTTTCTGTCTCTCTCTGTCTTTCTGGCAAGCACACACACTCTATAGCGAAAACCTCTCCAAAAAGAACATGCCTTCACTATCAGTTAGCCGCAAAGCACACTAGAAGCTACCACCTGTCAGTACTATGGTTATTCAGAATGCAGTCAACTTACAAGTAGTGCAACATCTCAGATCTTTTCATTTCAGATCTAAAAAATAAGCCATTGAAATGGATAGTATGGGTCTAATCATGAAATTATACACTCTTACTAATAACCTCTTCATCTAAAGAATATCCAATGTGTTCCCAGCTCTGCTCCTATTACACATAAAAGCATAAGATGTTAATAATTCATAATATATAGACAGATAACTATATACACTAGAGTACAAATTAGGAGGCATTACACACCACTAAAAAGAAAGACAAATTGCTCTGATCGTTCAAAAGAGAGTGATGCCAACCTGGGGAGATTTTGGAAGGATTCAGAGTGGTGGGTGAGTCTTAGATGAGCCTGGAGGCGTGGCAAAATGCAAAGATCAGAAATGTCATTATTGTACCCATAATTCTTAATGAATTATGAGACTTTTTAATAAAGACTAATGTTAAGTATATCAGATACTAAGCTAAATGAATGAAACAAACTTTATTTTCTAATCTATTTCTCCCAAAAGCTCTTGTGAGGTGGACGTGGTTATTTTTCTTAGGGAGGTTTATTAATTTATCCAAGTCAAATAGGTGACAGGTGGTAGAATGGGAATTTATAGCAGTCTGACTTCAAGAACAGGACCCAAGTGTTCTATTCTCCAGGTTTTGGTCAGAAGAAACAAATAGGTAAAGGCCAGGAGGCAAGAATCCCTGGCATGTTTGAGGCACAACAGATGCTTTTGTTTGCTAATTAATGGCTAAGTTAAAAGCGGATAACTCTAGATTATTATAAGGAAGAGAGGTCATGGAGGATAGAGCTTAGTTTCAAGGAGATCTTGAAGATCCTTGACAAGAGTGACTGACAATATGCTTTAGGAAAATAAATGTGGTAGCAGTGTGAAGTAGGTTTTGAAAATGGAGGGATAGTTGGGTTGCAACTGATAGGAAGCTGATGCAATATAGTTCAAGCAAGGACTAGGGATGCAATGCCCACAAGTCACAAAAGTACAGGACTGATGTCTGGTACCAGCTCCTGTTGCAACCTCGGATAAGTCCATCTGCCTTACTGGCCTTCTGCATCTTCAACTACAAAATATCTATGAGATTCCTACCCAATGTAAAATTGTAATAATTTAGAAGGGCCTAAATTAAGATAATTTTATGAACACAGAGACGAGGATTAGTAAATATGTGAGATGTGCTTTAGAGATGGAACTGAAAGACCCTGGAAACTGGTTGACTATAAGAGGCATGAAGTAGAAATCAGAAGACTGAAAGGTCAACAGGAATAAGAAACACAGAAAAAGGGGGAAGATAGGCAATTAGAATTTATTTTAGACATATTGATGTTGAGATGTTAACAAAAGAGGTGTTGGTGAGATTTTCAGAAACCAACTGGAAAAGGAGCACCAGGATCCATAAGAAGTTCTTGCTCACAGTCCATATTGGGAAGCTATTTTCATAGACAGGAGTAGATGAGATTGCTTAGGAACAGGTTATGAAATAAGAACAGTGAAGCACAGTTGGCAATAGTGACACTTAAAGAAGAAGCAGAAAAACAGGTTCCAGGCAAGGAGGGGGTCAGGGAAGCATAAATTCAGAGAGGAAAGGCTTCAAAAAGAAAGGCCTGTCAGGCCAACAGATAACTGCTCTGGAGAGCTTCTTGATCTAGAAAGGCACTAATCCATAAAAGTAGTGCTTATATAAAACAGAATTTTCGGAGGAAGGGGTTGTGATAAAAGGTAGCTAAAGCGCAAAATACTTTCAGGGGCATTTTAGGTCAAATGACTCAGTAAAGTACCAGAACTAGGGTGGATATTTTTCTTCCAGCATGATCTATATACTGAACACCTTAGAATTCCCAGGAGTGGTTAATTAAAATGCAGATTTCTGAGCCTCACTCCAGAATTAATGGATCATAATCTCTGAGAAGAATGCTTTGTATATTGATTTTAAATACCATTGCTTCTCAATAATTATGTATGTAGGCCGGGGTGTTTCAACCTGTTCTTTAAATGAATGGAGAGATTCAGTAGAAAGGGATTAATTGCTGAGGTGGGAAAGCTGATGGGGAGCAATCTTGGAAAGTCAAACTGAGACTTAGGGCACCAGCAGAAGGGTCAGCCTGAAAAAGACTCCACCTTCACCCAACAACCTCCTACTCATCCAGGCTCAACACAGAGCCAGCGTGGTCTCCATGAAAAGTCCGATTTTGCACTTCTCTTCTTGGTAATGATATCTTGCCATCTACAGTGAGAGCCTTGATGCCAAAGCTGTACCAGAGGCTGAAGTCTCCACAGAAGCCAGAGCCTCGGATGAGTTCCCCAACCCTCCCAGCAGTAGTGAGGATAGCACCTGCAGCTGGTCCCAGCTCGCTAATGAGGAGGACAACCCAGATGACACAAGTAGCTTTCTGCAGCTCAGCGAGCGATCTATGAGGTACCTACATATTCCTCGACTTCCCAGGGAAGCTGATCTCAACACAGATTCCAAAAAATGCATTTTAATGGTTCTCTGCAAAGGGTTTCTAACAGAGAGAGCAAAAGGAAAGCCTCCACTAGGTCAAGTTCTCTGCACTAAGATCTTAGTATCCATTGATGGCATAAATTATTTTGGCCAAGGTTAAGAGTTATCTGTGTTTTCTTCCCTTAAGTCCCCAAGTAGTGCATTGAATGTGACAGCTGTGAACTTTTTGAGGAAAGCTGTTATTACACTTGTGCTTGATCCTTCATTTCTGGTTCGTTTGTATTTCAGATGCAACACAGGCTGGGTTTACATGAGGAAAGTGTTTCCACACTGTTGTGTTGTTTGACCTGAGTGTTCTTCCCATTTATCTGCCTACCACTGTATTGTTCCTGTGGCTAAGCTACAGAAAAGTTTAGAAGGAATCAGATACTTAAGGACAGGAGGCATTAACTAAACACTTCTTCAGTGAGGTGGAAACTAGAAGAATCTCTATGTTTCTGCCCAAAGTCTATTTGATACTGAATCAACAAATTTATAGATTTCTCCAAAAGGCCAAATGGAAAATGAGATTCAGGAGCATCTAAGTGTGTGTCTGGCTTTTTGAAAGTTTTATTTCTTGTAGTTCAGTCTGTTTTGACTTAAGAATATTTTACAATGTTAAACAATTTATCTAAAAATTCCAAAAGCTAATGGGAAATATGACAAGATAGAAACAAAATACAAAAAAAAAAAAACTTGAATTTTGGACTTAACAGCAGAAGCTTAGAATGTTAGTTATTTTCAGTCATTTTGAGTCATCAGGTTTCAATCTGTGAATATATTCAGTGCCCCACCTGAAATAAGGCAAGAATTTAAAGTCGAGGTAGCTTAGTTGGTTACTCATTGCATTCCCCAAGGGAAGACTGTCCCATTTCTTGACACACCAGCACTCATTCTTGGAAAATCTGGCTTGAAAGAGACATAATAGGGAAATAGAAAAGGATGAGGAGACTGGGAGTTCAGTAAAACTAGATATATTCCATTTCACAAGTGCAGGCAGAGCCTAAAATTTGGCTCAATGATACTGTATTTCAGTCAGATCCAGGCTAGTAACAAGACTATATGTTGATTGTGCAGCCTACTGCAATATGTACTCCTCCTTCTCTACAATACCTAAGGAATCAGGTATCGTTCCTTATCAAAGATTGTAAGATAAATGAGCAATAAAACTTCAACATTACCTAACTCCTGTGGCTAAGCTACAGAAAAGTTTAGAAGGAATCAGATACTTAAGGACAGGAGGCATTAACTAAACACTTCTTCAGTGAGGTGGAAACTAGAAGAATCTCTATGTTTCTGCCCAAAGTCTATTTGATACTGAATCAACAAATTTATAGATTTCTCCAAAAGGCCAAATGGAAAATGAGATTCAGGAGCATCTAAGTGTGTGTCTGGCTTTTTGAAAGTTTTATTTCTTGTAGTTCAGTCTGTTTTGACTTAAGAATATTTTACAATGTTAAACAATTTATCTAAAAATTCCAAAAGCTAATGGGAAATATGACAAGATAGAAACAAAATACAAAAAAAAAAAAACTTGAATTTTGGACTTAACAGCAGAAGCTTAGAATGTTAGTTATTTTCAGTCATTTTGAGTCATCAGGTTTCAATCTGTGAATATATTCAGTGCCCCACCTGAAATAAGGCAAGAATTTAAAGTCGAGGTAGCTTAGTTGGTTACTCATTGCATTCCCCAAGGGAAGACTGTCCCATTTCTTGACACACCAGCACTCATTCTTGGAAAATCTGGCTTGAAAGAGACATAATAGGGAAATAGAAAAGGATGAGGAGACTGGGAGTTCAGTAAAACTAGATATATTCCATTTCACAAGTGCAGGCAGAGCCTAAAATTTGGCTCAATGATACTGTATTTCAGTCAGATCCAGGCTAGTAACAAGACTATATGTTGATTGTGCAGCCTACTGCAATATGTACTCCTCCTTCTCTACAATACCTAAGGAATCAGGTATCGTTCCTTATCAAAGATTGTAAGATAAATGAGCAATAAAACTTCAACATTACCTAACTTTGTACTTGTAAATTCTGCAGTCTCATGGAAAAACAATAAGCCCATTGTATGAAATCCTACGGAATGTCCCTGAGACAAGTCCCCTGAATGGCAAAGGAAAAACATAAGACCATGGGCAAATCAGAATTTAAGAAGCAGGGAGATAAGCATTCTGGTACCTCCTCTATGCAGCGTTTTCAGAAATATGTTTGTCTCTGTAGGAATACCCATCAGGAAGTCCTTGCTTCTAAACAAATGACATCACTATAATTAGAAAGGAAAAAAAAAAAAAAACAGTCCTGTTGATTATTACCCACCAGGTGTGATCTAACATCTGACACCACTTCAGAAATTACATTATCATTACTATTATGATGATGATTGGCTTGAGCCTGTTAGGCTTGTCTTATTGTGTTTCTTCTAATCTGGTCAAAAAATAAATATCAATTTAGGAATCCTAGACACAAGGCAATCTTCTTCTAGGGACCAAAAGAAGGCCCTCTTCCAACAATGGAACGTCAGTGTTGGCATTGTGGCCAGGTGGTGGAGATGGGCATTAATATTTAAACTTTTGCTTTGTCAGCAATGGCAACAGTAGTGCCACTAGCAGTCTTGGCATTATGGACCTGGACATTTATCAGGAAAGCATGCCATCTTCTCCCATGATTAAGTAAGTAGCCACCAAGATGCAGTGATTGTGAGACCGCTACTCCAATTCCATCTGGCAATCCATCTTGATCATTCAGGTTGTGCCCAACCACTGATTTCATCGTGTCTGTACTGCCGTGGTTCCATGTCACCGGACCAGGAATTCAGGCCTACAGTAAGCCCTACCCTACTGCTCCCTGATTTTTGGGTTTTGAACCTGCCCCCAATTTAATCATCATTAAGACAAAGCTTATCCTTATAATCAGAGTTGAATGCCAACTTATCTACATGGACACACAGAGGCAAAAATCCATTTAAATTGTATGAGGCCAACCAAAGGCTGTTCAGTAGTCTTCACCATAGAATACAGTCACTTCCATAGAATCAAATGTGAACAGCTTTTTCTTTACTTGTGGACACCTGGGATTACCTCTACCTAATGTGTCTGACGTAGAATGGTTGCCATGACAGGAAAGTGTCATTCCCACCCAGTGACTCCACATAATATGGAGATTTCTAAAAGACTAAAGGAAAAAAGTACCTAGGAAACACACTCAGCAACACATAAAACAAGGCACAGAAAGGGAAGGTGAGCTGAGGTCAGGATTACTTCTAGAATTTGCAATTCTTCTGAAAAATTAAATCAACTGAAGTCTATTTTTGATTATCGTTATTATTGGGAGATACTTTGAATTTCAGGAAAAATGAAAAAGTAAAAAACTAAATTTTCTCCCTGACCTACTTCCTCAATTACTATCTGCAGCTAAATCATTTTTATCTCACCTTTTAATCAAGTGTACTCCCCAGTGCTTAATGTTTGTAATGCATTTTTTTGTTGCCTTACACAGCTTTCATTCACAAGTAGAGATGGATGTGGATGAATGTACACATTCTCTTGTGTAGGGGAACAAGAAATCGAGATAAACAAAACTACTTTTAGATAAATTTGTTTCTCTCCTTCAGGAATGATTTGTTCAGCAATTTTCCCCATATTTCTCTGCAGTAGGAGGTCATCACCCCAAATCAAATCTTGCTTCAGGGAAAGCTAAGACCACCACCACCCGTGCTCAGCCTCACGCAGCTCCATAGCAGCAGAAACCGTGCTAACATTTGTCATATCACTTATGTCACTCACATACAGTTCTAGCAGAAAATCTAGGCTCTGGAGGTACTAGCATTCCTACAAATGATTTAGGTATGCATGAAAGAAAGACTAGACTTTGTCTCAGCATCAGCAATACAATGGATTTATCAGCCAGATCAAATCCTCTATCATCAGTAGACATATTTTTTCAGAGTCCCTGTACTCTCTTTCTAGACAGGATGAAAATATCAGACAATCAATGGTTTCCCAAGATGGTCACTTCCTTTCAGCTGCTGGGCTGTTAGCTCTCATTTTAGAAGTATTTCCTGAGTCCTCCCACGATGTATGAGGCACTGTAATAAGTGCACAGTACACAGCAGTGCTTCCAATACTAAACATTACCATATCTAACAACTATTTGCTTCAGTTATGACTACCTAGTTCTGAACAATCCCCAGCTTTCTATACATCCTTGCAACAAATAGAAAGAAAAAAAATGTAATTAAGTGAGATATTTTGCTCTCTGGTTTAAGTTTTGCAGTCCTTTCATTGTCTTTTCCCTTATTTCAGTCAAAGAACCATATGCATGTAAAGAAAATCCTGTATTAAAACACAAGCTTAGATGGCTGTCATAATGTAGAAAATAAAATTGTGGCAAGATGAAAACATATGGTTCACTAAATGACAATAAAGTGCTAGAGAAAGATAAATATTCCCAAATCAGAGCCAGTTACCTATGGGTTCTTTCTTTTGGGTTCAAACCAGTGAAGATTTATGAAAGGGACTGAAGAGGAAAAAAAAAAAAAAATAAAGGCTACATATCTCAGAATCTGCCACCCCAATCATCCTAACTAAAATCACCCTGGTTATGTGGCTTTTTTTTTTTTTTTTTTTTTTGAAGTGGAGTGTTTTTTTCTTGTTTGGGGAAGTGGGGT